CTCTGTGACTTCTCCTTTGTGTTCTCGACCTCGCAATCGTTCGTATGGCGTTTTGCCATCTGCTTTGACAAGAAATTTGGTCAAGAGCCAGGCTTCGTGTCTTACAGCCCATGGATATACCAGACCGTATGGCTTGACCTTATAGCTTGGATATCTGGTCTCAAAAGCATGAACTATGGTTCTGACCTGTCTTGACACCTCCAGAATTGCCCGTTCCACTGCACCATTTGAGGCATGTGAGTCACACGGCGCAGTCTGAAATCGTGCTTCTTTGTTCCACTGCTTGGCAGCAGCGTCTGCCAACGCTCTGATGGCGGGTTCACCATCAGTGTGAAGCAAAACTTTCTGTCTTCCTGTGAAACGTAGTGCCTCCACCGCAACATTGATGGCATGTGGGTTGACACCTTTTGCAACTACACTTGCAAAAACGCATCCCGTCCTTTCGTCGATGACGACCAGGACTGGGATATTACTTTCATCTTCACCTTGGGATTCCTGAAGGTCTCGGACCTTTGGGTCATCTTTTTCACCTAGGTCCAAAACTCTACCTAAGAAACAATAATCAAATGAAACACGTGGGACCTCTTGTGCCTCATCTCCCTTTGCTCGACGCGGGTGGGCGTCCTCACGCACCTTTCCTGCCATACAGTGCTCACACCAGTTTCTCAGTGGCAGCATGTGGCCGTCATATTCGGCCTTTGAAACTGTATCTGGGGTCTTCTTGGTTTTGGGGGTCTTGAAACTTCTGAAACTTCAGGCAGTGGTTCACCCAAGGCTGGAAGTTCTCTGGGCTCATCCTCAAAGACTGGGTCTCCATGTCCATCCGCTGGATGGATAGGCGCCTCTGCCTCATTATCCTGCCCAGCTGGAATTGCTTTCTTCACCACCTTTGCTGCTGCAATCATCTGGCTGGTGGGACTACCCAACCTCGCTCAGCGGGGCTGCCCGCTTGAGCTTGCCTAGCAGCACCACCCACTGGATGCGCAGCTATGGGTTCAGCGGGGCTGCCCGCATGCTGGCTTTTGCGTCCAGAAACTGGAAGCCAGTAAACACCTCTTTTCTTCACCAATGGGATTGTGCGGGATTTTTCAACCGCATCTTGGATCAGGTGGGCATGTTTTGAAACAATCATACACTGAACGTCTGGACCGATCACCGTCCGGGTTCCCTTAAGCGCTGCCTTTCCGGCACCCATCACTGAAAAACCTACTTTGTCCGACTCTGCGTAGCCTATGTTGAAAATGCAACCTTCCGTTGATATGGTGCTTCTCTTCAGGATGCCCGTGTCTAATGGTTCACCAGTTACTGTAACCAACCCAGTGGTTGAAGTAGAACTTACTTAACTTGGTGGCAAATGGGTTAAAGCCCGTCTTAAACAGATGCATCCCCGCCCCAGTGTCCACCAACACCTCCTGCTGTCCTGCAATGGTTGCTGCAATGAACGTAGACTCCTGGGTCGGCGTTGCAGTCATTGGTTCAGGTTCTTCAGAAGGTGCAGCTGCATTTGGGGGGTGGTTCTTCCCGCTACCTTTTGCCTTTTGCTTGTCATCTGCGGCCTTCTTCCTACATTCAGACTTCACATGACCCTTTTTCTTGCGATAAAAACATTCCTTCTCAGCATTGGGGTTGGTTTTGGGTGCGTCTTTACCCTTACCATCTTTGGTAGAAGGCTTACCCCCTTTTGATCCCTTGTGGTCTCCTTTACCACCCTTCTCGCCACCTTTGCCCTTACCCTTGGGCAACGCACCAATATCCATTGGCGCTGGCATTTGTTGCAAGACCCGGTTGGTTCTTGCAATCTCCAAAGGCTCAGTTCGAACTTGCTGAAACGATTGAAGTCTGGCTGAATTTCGGATGATGTGATCCCTGATGGATTGATCTTGCAATCCATTCACAACAACTCCCAAAAGGATTTCCTCGTCCAGAGTCTTTCCAGATTCTGTCTCATACCTTCGAATGGTTTTGTCGAAGGATTCCAACTCACTCTCAATATCACTGGTGAAACGCGTTGACAAAATCAATGAGAGTGACCCCACGTATCTTGAAGCGACGCGGGGGTGATACTGCTCAAACAACCTTCTGTATGTTTCAAATCCCTCACCCACTCCACAGTTGTGGGCGATGTCCAAGGCACGTCCCCTAAATAGCATTACCAAAATGTAACAAAGTTGCCCTGAGAGACCTTGCTCGCTGGGTCCAAGGGATCTGTTTACCATTGGTACCCTGCTTTGTTCACATCCTTCCATCAATGGAATGTATTCCTGGGCAATGCATCCAACATAACTCTTAAAAATGAATGCCCAATCTGCAACTGACCCATCATCACCTTTGAAAACCTCGGGCTCACCAAGGGACCTGGTATCCACCAAACTTGAACTTTGGGATGACGATGACATGTTGGGGCCATGACCAAAACCCAAATTCCTAGTCTCATCTACTGTGTCCGTGGCAATGCTCACCCGGCGTGCTCTTTCTTGCTCCAGCGAGTACACTCTGTCCTGCATATTGGTGAGAAGCTGGTTAGTGTGCTGCAACTGCTGCGCCAGCTGCTGCATTGGATCCTGGCCCTGTGCCCTCGGAATCGTCCCCACTCGCCGAAGTGGGCATCATCGCGAGGTGGTACAGGCGCTTGCTCTTCCTCTGTCTCCTCTTCCTCTACGTTTGGCAGTTTTGGATAAGGTTTGGTTTCCTTGGTCTCGGGTTTCTTCAGGGCGTGGCACTGGGCCAACAGTGGAGTCCTCTGAGGAATCACTGCCTTAGCTCTATTCTTCCTTGCTACCTGTGACGCAAAGGCCAAGACAAATGGTCTCTGCTTCTTCTTGCGCTCGTCACACGAAGAGCAATCAGGTGGAAGGTTTTGCTCCAGCACCCAATCACCAACTGTTCTTCGAGGGATGAATGGCCTGAGGTCTTTCACAAAGTCCCTTCTTTGGTGAAATCGGTGCTTCTTCCACTCTCTCTTACCCTCACCAATGAGGTATTTGCCTTTGCTATACTTAGCCTTGACAAACTGCCTTCTCTCTGTCCTCTCTTGGCGTTCAGGTGCAGCTGACTTCAACCTGATTGACCCCTTGGGCTGGGTCTGTTTGGCGCGCCTCTTCTTAGGTCGGTTCGGGTTTGGGACCAACCTTACACCTTCTTTCTTTGGATCTTCCTGGAGAACCACTGTCCTGGTTGCTCCACTGGCCGATCCCCTTGGTGAACTGGCCTGGCCAACCAGTTCGGGGTATTGGGCTTCTGCCCTTTCCTGAAGCGCTTCGAGGCGCTTCTGGATCCCTCTTTGGACCCTTTCCTCTTGTTTCTCTTTGCTGCGCTTGCCGCGCTTGTTTCTCTTAGGCGCCGCTGCGCCTCCCGCTGGTGCGGTGCTACCCGCAACCAGCAGCTGACGCGGGGCAACCCGCAGCCAGCACACCCGCGGTTCTACCAGCTGGGTGTCGAGCCCTGGTATTGGAACCTAGAGCTCCGCTACCATGCAAGGGCGCAGTGACCCAACAACAAGTAAAAGGGGCTGCTACTTTTCTAGCTCACAGCAACTTGGTCCTTGAAGGGGCTACATCATGTAGCAACTGTACATCATGCATGTCATGGGGCATGGAATATGCTATATACTCTGACAACGACTCAACCAAAGCAGCAAAATTCTACAAGATCTACAAGCAACCTTGACAACCTTTGGCTCCAGTACGTACTTCACACACCTGGCAAGCATCTCTGAACAGGGCTTTTCAGGAACACTGTCCCAACATGGGCAAAACGTGCTAAGACATGATTCATCAATGTGCAACATCTACTGGCCAAAGCGGCAGTTCGTTCAATTGGCAAGGGTTGAACCTAGATGCAAATCAGACTCCGGCTATGTACACTCCAATCTCCAGTTACTGGGCCGCATGCAGCTCAAAGTCAACTAGCTCCTGCATTTCCGTGCTTTCAGGTGCATCAAAATGGAACAAGTCGATCTCCTTGAGCATGCCTTTCGCTTCTTCCCAAGCTTTCTTGTGCTGCACATCACGCTCCGGGTTCACAACGTTTCGAACCTTCTTTGCCGTACCTCAGATGTAGTATAATGGACGTGGATATACAATGTCATAGTCATAAGTCATAAAATATTGATTGTATGAACTGGACCCTGGACACTATCCTTGTGCCACAGGTGACACAAAGACACAAAGCTTGGCGAACATGTTGAATCCAGTGGGATACCCGACACATCGCTGTGACTCACTATTCAGAACCTTTGGTCACGCGCATTGCTTCAATACATTAAGATCTCTTGGTAAAGGCTTCTTATGATCTGTTGAATGTCCACTGAGGGTCAACGGGCAGCCAATCTGTCTCAGCACACAAGAAATCTGCAGGCCCATCCATGGCCATCCCACCATGGCCATGGCTGCATCAAAGCATCTCACCACAAAACTCCAAACTGAGTTTCCGCATGGACTAGCCTAGCTAATCCGCATCATCTTGGAAAGCCCTCTATGTAGGACCAAAAGCAACAGCTGGCGCACTCCATACAAATCTGGCCAGCTTGCTCCGGCACGCAGCCTTCCCCTGCAAGCAAAGAGCTAGGGCCATGAGCATTGCACACCAGGAAAAGCTGACCTCGTTGAGGTAGTCTTGTATCATTGCAATCCGGTCCTTCTTGCAGTGAAGCCATTGACACGTGCATCAATGTGCAGCATTACCTATCAATATGGTGCAACACAACATGTCAAGCAACATCATCTCAGCAAGGCCTCAACAAGGTCTGCAAGTTCTTTGGTAAAACCACTCACTTTCTTCACCGCCATGCTGTGACACAGGGCGCTCAAGAAGTGCGCACCCGTTGCTCCGTGAGACTGGACTTGAAGCAAATTGGTTTGCAAAAGGTATGTCGAGAGCGTTCACATCCCAAACAGACTGTGAAGACCTCCCCAAGAGGAAAACACTGATGTGTCCAACAAACTGTTTCTTGAGCCGAAACTCTTCGCATTGGATGATGGCAAAAGGTTCATGGGAAAAGAGCCTTGCAAAAGATTCTGTTGCCTTGAGAATCTAACGCTCATTCCCAACCCATTGGTTGACTCATTGACGACATCTTTTCTCTTCCAATATCCAACTTTCATGTGCACGTGCACTCTGACTTCTCCAACAAATCCTTCGGGAGCTTGTTCCCAGAAGAACTGCTTCTACCCTTCTACCGCTACCCCAAACGTGCTTAAAAAGAGTTGAACGACTCAAAGCTCATACTGGAGTGATCGTAGCCGCAGCCTTTTTCTCAGCGCTAGCCTGGAGAGTTGTTACAATCTGAAAGTCCAAAGAAAATTAATCTGAGAAAACTTAAACACATAACCAAGCAGTGCACCTCCAACAGCGGTTTTGGTCATAGCCCTGAAGGGCGTCTATTTCCCAAGTTCCATCCTTGAACATGTCACCGATTGAGACCATTTCATTACATATATCAAAAAGAACTGGCTTGTGGTAAAGAGCTGAAAACCCGTCAAAACCCTCCCTGCCGAGAATCTGGAGAGCAAGGCTTTGATTCTGCGAACTTTTTGGGACTGTGCCTCCCCAGCCTCCAGTTTGAATGGTCTGCCAGGTTTTTTCCCGAAGGTGCGGTCATCAGCTATCGCATGGCCGCTGTTCCATAAAGGATATGTATTGCTTAAGGTCTGGGCGCACGATTTTCGCTTGCAGTTTTGCCTCAGCACCACATCAAGTGTTCAAGTGTAACTCTTGTGCTGAACAGTTCGAGGGTAGCACAAGGTGCGGTCCTTCACAGTAAGCCACCGTCGGATTTGTTCCTGCAGAATTATGCAAGAACCCTCCACAACTCACAACTGTCACATTGATGTGTTCGCTGCAAGAGTGGTGCACTGTTCATTGCATCGCACAACGAACCTGCAGTTTGCTGCTTCTTTCGCGATCGAGAACATCAAGCCTTCGTGGGAAAAATAGATATCAGCACATGTCTCTTTCCTATCTGCTTCCATGTCTCAGGAGCTGACCGGCTCATGACAGCCTGCTTGTTGCATCCGGCCTCCATCATGATGTCCAAATATTCGCCTGGGTTTGCATCAACTCAGAAACATACTAAAAACACTATATAAAGCAGCGATAACTGATATGCAAGGTCACTGTTTCAGGAAAAATGCATTCTAATGTGTTGTATAGGAGTTGAGTTTTGCTATCAACGCAAACAGGTGGGCCAACATGTTTCACGTTTTCTTTGCTTACAGGACCCGAGACAAATCAATCTATACATATATATATATATATTCCAATGCATCAAACAACATATGGCAAGCGGAGCAAACAATCCACCTCCGAGCATTCCGGAATCGCGCCTCGTATGTGAGCCCATCGCTTGTCCAGTTCTGCTTGAGTGACCTGTGCAAGCAGCTGAAGATAAGCACCACTTGTGGTAAGGCAAAAAAACTGATCAAGACTAGAAAAAACATTATCCCAGCAAGAGATCCCAAACAGTGTGTGTGAGGTCTGTAAGCAGAAAGTCTAGAGATCTAGACGCATTGCGGTCTAGAGAGGTGATGGTGGTGATGAAGTGAAGGTGGGTGTGAGTGAGTGTGGATGAGAGGGAGTGTGGTTGTGAGTGAGAGTGGGAGAGTGAGTGTGAGTGCGAGTGTGAGTGTAAGTGAGCGTGAGTGAGAGTGAAGGTATGTGGGTGAGAGTGAAAGTGAGAGTGAGAGTGAGAGTGAGAAGTGTGAGTGAGAGTGTGAGTGTGAGAGTGAGAGTGAGAGTGAGTGTGAGAGTGAGAGTGAGAGTGAGAGTGTGAGTGTGAGTGTGAGTGAGAATGAGGGTGGGTGCGAGTGAGTGTGGGTGAGAGTGAGAGTGAATGTGAGTGAGAGTGCGAGAGTGAGTGAGTGTGAGCGCGAGTGAGTGTGAGTGAGAGTGTGGGTGAGGGTGAGTGTGGGTGAGTGAGTGTGAGTGCGAGTGTGAATGAGAGCGAGTGAGAGTCTGCGAGTGGGAGAGTGAGTGGGTGTGAGTGTGACCGTGAGTGGGAGTGGGAGAGTGAGTGAGTGTGTGAGGGAGTGCGAGTGTGAGTGAGAGTGAGTGTGAGTGGGAGTGAGTGTGGATAAGAATGAGTGTGAGTGAGAGTGAGTGAGTGTGAGCGCTGGGAGAGTGGGTGTGAGTGTGAGTGAGAGAGTGAGCATGGGTGCGAGTGTGAGTGAGAGTGGGAGTGGGAGTGTGAGGGAGTGTGAGTGAAAGTGGGAGAGTGAGATGCGAGAGCACAAAGTAGTGCGCCTGCGAAGAAATCTGCACTTCCAGGTTCACCAAGTGCTGTGCCTGCCACGGAATCTGCGCTTCGAGGTTCACCGCGCCCTGTGTCTACCGCAAAATCTGCACTTCGAGGTTCACCGTGCGCTGTGCCCGCCACGAAATCTGCGCTTCGAGGCTCACCAAGTGTTGCGCCTGCCGCGAAATCTGCCCTTCGAGGTTCACCAAGCACCTGCCACGAAATCTGCACTTCGAGGTTCACCAGCGCTGTGCCTGCCACGAAAATCTGCACTTCCAGGTCGACCAAGTGCTGTGCCTGCCGCGAAATCTGTACTTCGAGGTTCACCACAAGTCCTGCGCCTGCCACGAAATCTGCATTTCGAGGTTCACAATGCGCTGTACCTGTCACGAAATCTTCACTTCAAGGTTGACCAAGTGCTGCGCCTGTCACGAAATCTGCACGAGGTTCACCAAGCGCTGCGCCTGCCACGAAAACTGCGCTGCGCTTCGAGGTTCAAAAAGTGCTGTACGTCTCACGAAATCTGCACTTCGAGGTTCACAAAGCGCTGCGCCTGCCAGGACATCTGCAATCGAGCCACATGTCCAAAAGTCACGATTCACTGCGCCTGTCACGAAATCTGAGCCCCTTGACGATCACCACCATGTCCAAAGTGCTGCGCCTGCCACGAAAACTGCATTTCGAAGTAAAACAGCTCCGATCCCTTGCGCCCATCACGAAAAGTCGACTTTGGAGCACCAAAACACGAGGTTTCCCTTGCGCCTGCCACGAAAAGTGACCGCCATGTACCAAAATGCATAAATAGCAATGAATTAGCTGTTCACGCCGGCGCGCTTCAGCGATCTAAACATCAGCTGCTTTTCCACTACCGTAAGAACCCCTCAGTGTGCCCACACTGCTTGGGGAATCATTGATTGCGTTGTTTCTTTCTGGTTGATTCAATGATCCCAAGTCTAAGAAAGCTGCGGTCCGCAGAACATAGTTCTGCGCGTGGCCCCTTGCCTCGAAAGGTGCCAAGCTCTTGGCCTACTTCCCAGGCTCAAAGAACCCTTCATCCCGAAAAGGAATTGAGATTCTTCTCACTGTTTCCAAAAATCATCCTTCAGTTTCGTCGCGCCTGCTGAAGCCGATGTAAAGCCTCCAAATCACTAGGCGCGGCAAGAAGGACGCCATAGTAAGTTGGTATCAGTGAAAAATGAATTGATTAGTGTATATTAGTGTTGAAAGCCCAGCTGGAGGCCCCATAAGCAAGATGCAAACCGGGACAAAAAAATCTGGAAACAGATGCTGTTTTCAACGCGTCGACCATCTCTTCCTTGGACACCATCATCACATAACCGGGACACCATCACAACGTGACCGGGGCACCATCGCAACGTGACCGGGGCACCATCAAAACATGACCGGGACACCGCCACAACATGACCGGGACACCATCACAACATGACTGGGACACCACCACAAGACAACCGGGACACCAACATGACATGGCAGAGACACCATCACAACATGACCGGGACACCATCAAAACATAACCGGGAACATGACCGGACACTATCAAAACGCAACCGGCGCCCTGCCAACGCGGGCCGTCGGACGGTGTCCCGGATGGTCTGTTTTGACAGTGTCCCGCTCATGTTCATGTTGGGACGGTGTCCCGGTCATGTTGATGGTGCCCCAATCATGTTTTGATGGTGTCCTGGTGATGTTACGACGGTGTCCCGGTCCTGTTTTGACGGTGTCCCGGTCATGTTTTGACGGTGTCCCGGTCATGTTTTAACGGTGCCCCGTTGTGACGGTGTCCCGGTTTTGATGGTGCGCCGGTCGTGTTGTGACGGTGTCCCGGTGATGTTGTGATGGTGCCTCGCTCGCTTTGCGACGGTGTCCCGGTCATGTTTTGATGATGTCCTGGTCATGTTTTCCCTTTTTTCCCCAGCCCCGTCCACGCGGCTACAATGACAGCCAGACCGCGTCCATCTCTGGCGCCACATTTACGCGATGGTGATAACCCTGAGATTGTATCCACTACCTTTTGCAAGAAGGCCCGTCCTACGGCACCCCCTTCCACCTTGCGGTCACTGATATGAACTTGCCACCCGCCTTGTTCTCAAACCTACAGGCGAAAGAGTCCGCTTTCGCATTCCTTTCCCTTCATTACCTTTTCATTTGCTTGAGGCAAAATCGTCCTCTTAATTCAAGCCCGTTTCACCACCCGATCTTCTTGACCTTCGTTCAAAAGATTTGTTACCAGGTCCCTACTTTGCACTTTTCTATCCCTTTCTGTTCTGATGATGTCAATTTCTTGAGCTCCGCGACTCCACGGCTACCGCCTTGTATGACCCTTCACCTTGTTGGAGGCCGTACGCACTTCCCGATCTCGGTGTTCCTGTCAGTTTGCATGTCTGCGGCGCTGCGAAGTGAAACACCTGCCCTCACTTCACATCCGGATGGTTTCTCCTTCCACTCCCCTGGTTTTTATTTTGGTTTTGTGTCGCCATCCAACCATTTACGATTTTATCCTTCGCTTCTGCAGCCATTTAGCTTGATTTACCCATTGATGTTTCCCCCATTGCCAATGATTTCATCCCCTGGACTGCGTGTTCCTGAACCTTTGACCCAGTTAATCCCCACAGATTCGCGTGAAGTTCGGCAACCCTTTGAAACTTTGGATCAGGTCCCTCATCTCTCAACTATCCGTTTTGAGCTGGACATTAGCCTCCTTGTCTACCAACCTCTGAACTACATCGCCGTGACCCTATCACAGTTGACGATCTCAAGGACGTGATCTTTCACGCCTAGGGCAACAACGCACTGCCTTCTGGTTGGCCCTTCCTTCCACCGGCGACTCTCGTGTCTGGGAAGTGCCGCATACCTGCGCCCTGGAAGACTTGGTCCTCTACTATGTGAACTCAGGTCGTATTCGCCCCGTCGGCATCAACCATGAATTTTCACGTGAGTCGACACCTTTTCCCTACCGCCCACTACACACAGTTGCTCCCCGTCTACACGATGATGGCATTTGTCAACTGAGACTCCCGCTCACGGCTTATCAAACTTTCCGGGAACTTCGCCGGTTTTCATAGGCTTCACCTGGCCAAACCCACCTCTGTCCGGAGCCTAGAACAAAATATGCCTCCCTTTGGGGAGGCGTGTTTGTGTGTGTGTGTGTGTGCCCCTTGTAGTCACAGGGATCCATTCGGATTGTTCCCCACATTGTTGTGTGGGGTTCTTGTTTTTGTTGCTGCACCTCCTGCCTCCCTCCCTCCTTCCTTCCTTCCTTCCTTCCTTCCTTCCTTCCTCCGTCCTCCTCCTCCACTCCACACACAACCCTCCTACACAACATCTCACACACAATCTCACAACATGTCACACACAACATCTCGCACACAACAAGACATCATCTCACACACAACATCTCACACACAACCTCACATCATCTCACAACACAACATCACAATACAACCTCTCGCACACAACCTCTCCAACACATCATCTCACACACAACTTCTCACGCACATCACACAACACAACATCACAATACAACCTCTCAGAAACAACCTCTCCAACACATCATCTCACACACAACTTATCAAAGACATCACACAACACAACATCACAATACAACCTCTCACGCGCAACCACACATACATCTCACACACAGCCGCCGCTGTGTGCGGCCCTTGCTGCTTGCCAAGGGGTCGGATGTACGCCCTGGTGTCGTCTGGGCACCGCCGCTCTGCCGGTAGCATTTGCGCGCTGTCTGCGGCGCTTGCTGCTGGCCAAGGGGTCGGATGTACGCCCTGGCGTCGTCTGGGCACCGCCGCTCTGCCGGTCGCATTTGCGTGCTGTGCGCGGCACTTGTTGCTTGCCAAGGGGTCGGATGTACGCCCTGGCGTCG